GTCAAGACAATTTACACATATACACCCCAAATGTAACAGGTTACCAAATGGGTGACCACAGTGATATAGTGTTTGCACATCAATAAATAAGGTGATGAAACAGTGGTGTATTATGTCACTATGTAGTGACTAATGGTGTGCAAAGTGAGAAACTCTAGTCCAAAAATGAGGTGCGTGGGAGATTGTGATGATCTTCAGGATCCAGTAATCTGATCCAATAAGATGGTGATAAATCTCAGGTAAAGATTGCACACTCACCAGACACGCACTCAGTCTGTGCATTTAGAGATAACAATCTCTGAGAACTGAAGATCCCTTTTAAGGTCAGGTCTGGTCTCCCTCACTATCCGACATCCGCTGCCAGCAAAGGTACAGCCGTTCTGTGGGTAGTTAAAGCTCCCGAGGAGCCCCAAAAAGAGGAGGCCAATAGTGTGATATTGTTTAAAAGAGGGTATTTATTCCAACCAAACAGAAGTAAAATACATCACACTGACCAGCTGCAGTATTCCAAGATGGCCACCGGGACCCACGTGGTGCCAGCGGTGTGACGTCCTGATGCTGTAGCTCCTCCCTACATGTATGACACAAAAAGCCAAATCTGACACATTCCATGCAAAACCCCCCAAATGGACTGGACAAAATTTGCAATTTCTCAAAATTGTAAGAAATAATTGCATTCCAAGTTTGTGATGCTCCTGTAATTTGTAATTTAACTCATCTGTATCAATTAACAGATCTTAATGTTCCTGTGTCCACTGTGCGCAACATTGTCAAGAAGTTTATAGCCCATGGCACTGTAGCTAATCTCCCTGGACGTTGATGAAAAAGAAAAAATTGATCAAAGATTGTAATGAAGGATTGTTTGAATGGTGGGTAAAGAACCTCGATCAGCTTCCAGACAAATGCAAGCTGACCTTCAGGCACAGGGTACAACTGTGTCAGCTTTCACTATACGTCACTATCTGAATGAAAAGGGACGCTGTGGAAGGAGACCCAGGAGGATCCCAGTGCTGACACAGAAACCTAAAAAAGCCAGATTGGAGTTGCCAAAAAACCCTTTTGGGAGAATGTGCTGTTGATAGATAAAACAAAATTAAAGCTTTTTGGTAAAGCCCATCATTCTACTGTTTTCAGAAAAAGAAATGAGAAAAGAATACAGTCCCTACTGTCAAACATGATGGAGGTTCACTGAAGTTTTGGGGTTGCTTTGCTGCTTCAGGCACTGGATGTCTTGACCGTGTGCATGGAATTATGAAATCTGAAGACTACCAAAGAATTCTGGGGTGCAATGGGGTGAAAGTTGGGTCTCCGTCAGAGGTCATGAGTCTTACAGCAGGACAATGAGCCAAACCACACACCAAAAAGCATCTGTGGAGAGATCTCAAAACAGCAGTTGGCAAAAGGAACCCTTCCAGTCTGAGAGACCTGGAGCAGCTGGTGAAAGAAGAATGGTCCAAAATTCCAGTAGAGAGGTGTAAAACTCATTGTTAGTTATAGGAAGTGATTTGATTTCAGTTATTTTTTCCAAGCGGTGTGCTACCAAATATTAAATTGAGGGTGCCAATAATTTTATCCAGTCCATTTTTGGAGTTTTGCTTGAAACGCGTCAGTTTTGACTTTGTTTCTCCACTTTTGTGTCACACTAATACAAACAAAAGAAATAAACCTGAGAATGCCTAAACATTTGTAATTGCACCAATTTTCTGGGCGAAGTGCTTCATTATCTGAGTGAAATGCAGGGGTGCCAATATTATTGGCCATGACTGTGTGTGTGTGTGTATACATACACATAACATAAATGAATGAATACCATGAAATATGTATGTGTTTAAAAGCAAAAAAAAAAAAAATGGAATGACATCTGAAAATGGGTATTGCCTAATTTGTACCAAAAATAAAGTGTGTAGCGATAACCCCGAAGGGGCCGCTTGCATTTTGGCCCAGGTCTCTCCTTTCTTAATTCCGCAGCAAGTATTTTCCACAGCCAGATACACACACACTCTTTCGCTCATTGTCTTCAATGGCCAGTCTAGGGGATGTTTGTTTTTGGAGTTTTATTGTAGAACTGGAGACAGGGAATTTAGTAGGATATTCCAAAATTAGAACTATTTCCCACTGAGGACATCTAGCTGATCTACTAGTTGAGCACTGTTGAAGTCCTGGCTGAACAAAGATAGCAGACGTCACTTTAAATTGTAGCAACAAGTGTTTAGGAGTGAGCCAAGTCCCTTTTTAACAGTAGCCCTTTTAACGCTACCACCTCCCCCTCGCTCCCCCTCTCTGTTGGGGTCCCTCAAGGCTCCGTCCTCAGGCCCCTTCTCTTCTCCATCTACACCTCCTCCCTTGGGCAACTCATACACTCTCACGGCTTCAACTACCACCTCTATGCCGACGACACACATCTATCTCTCTACTCCCTGCCTCACCCCCTCTGTCTCCGCCCGAATCACAAACCTACTAAACGACATATCAGACTGGATGTCGCTCCACTTCCTTAAACTGAACCTCTCTAAAACCAAGCTCCTAGTCTTCCCCCAGCCCGCACACCACCCCCTACTGCCTTCTCCATCACGTCCAACAATGCCACTATCAGGCCCGCCCCGCAGGCCAGAGTGCTTGGTGTCATTCTGGACTCCAACCTATCCTTCCAGCCCCAAGTCCAATCACTAACAAACTCATGCAGACTTCACCTCTGCAACATCGCCAAAATCCGCATGTTCCTAACCACAGAAACCACTAAACAGCTCATCCACTCCCTCATCATATCACGACTCGATTACTGCAACTCCCTCTTCAGTGGCCTGCCTCACCACAGGCTATCCCCACTTCAGTCGATCCTGAACACGGCAGCCAGACTCATTCACCTCACCAGCTGCTACGTTTCCGCCACCCCCCTCTGCCAATCCCTCCACTGGCTTCCGATTGCACAACGGATCAAAATCCTAACACTGACATACAAAGCCGTCCACCATACTGCCCCAAACTACATCACCGACCTAATATCCAAGTACCACCCAACACGTACTCTCCGCTCCTCACAAGACCTCCTTCTCTCTAGTTCTCTGGTCTCCTTCTCCCATGCCCGCCTCCAGGATTTCTCCAGGACATCACCTATCCTCTGGAACTCCCTACCCCAATCCATCAGACTATCACCTACTCTCCTCTCATTTAGGCGCACCCTGAAAACCCACCTCTGCAGGGAAGCCTACCCCACCCCCTGCTAACCTGCCGACCTCCTCCACTCTTCCTACCACTCCATCCCCCACAGCTATCTCCTCCTGTACTACTATCCCCTCCCTCCTAGATTGTAAGCTCAAAAGAGCAGGGCCCTCGAACCCCTCGTGTATCGCATTGTATTGTTTTTGTACTGTTGCATGTTCTGTCTCCCTTTATAATGTACAGCGCTGAGAGAACTGTTGGCGCTTTACAAATACTGTATATAATAATAATAGTAGTAGTTGCAGGGCTGAGTTCCTCAGGTACAGGCCTGTTACGGCAGACTGTGGCAGTCCAAAAGTAATAGAACTGAGCAAAGTCCTTTGCAGTAACAACAATTGGACAAGCTTTTCAGAACACCAGCCAGTGTTCCCTTTTCTCAGACCCAATCTGACTATCAAAGCACACAGAGTCCCCAAGATCCTTTTAGAGTTGTACTCACAAGTCCAAGGAGAGAATGGCAGCCTCATTCCAATCTTCCAAGCGACTCTCTCCAGTGATACCAGACAGATTTTTGGCAGACAGCTCCCTTCATCTTACTGTAGAACCGTATATATATGATTATTACTATACAGGATTTATATAGTGCTAACAGTTTGCACAACGCTTTACAAATGTAGGGAGACAGTACAGATGCAATTCAATACAAGAGGGATCAGAGGGTCCTGCTCACATGGAAGTACGTTGCATAGAATTGAAATGGGTTGGTTGGTTCTTAATGTTCATCTTGTTTTCAATTGATTTTGAGTATATGATTTGATTATATCAAACAATTTTAATTGTTAATGCCTGATTGCTATACTTTTCCAGTACACTCTCTCGCATTGGTTGGATCAGTAGTAATTTAATCCAACAAAACACATAAATGAACACTCAAAAAAGTGATCCAGTAGCGCATAAAAATATAAGTGAAAAATTGTGAACATAAAAAATAAAAACTGAGTGTATAGTCCAAAGAAAGTCCGAATGCCAATTCTTATCCACCAAGCGATTCTTCCAACTCTTAAAAAAATAAATCACCATGTGAGAGAAGAAAATGTCCCCCTATCGGGTATACACTCCCAGCAAATGGAGCCCCCCACTTTCATGGTTGGCTGAAATGGCTCAATAAATATCTCCCGGTGGGCTGATGGATCAATCGGTGCAGATATCCTTCCTCTCCTCCAATCTCCACAATTGCCTACCCCCAAAAGGTCGACAATGATTCATATAATAATGGGAATCCAATATGGCGGCACTTAGGGTAACAGAGGAGTCCCCCCTCCTTTAAATACTCCACACTCCGACCAAATAACCATGTAAGAGAAAACGAGAAAAGCCCCAATGCTGCAGTACGAAACAAAATTACTTTATTGCCACAAATAGACTGCCACTTACAGGATAAATGAAAATAAAACACCCAAAGATGCTGCACTAAGTGTGCACATTAGTGTAAACCAAGCCAGTGCTCTCACCACCGCTGGATACACCATCTCTTGTCACTTCTGGTTCTGGTCACATCACTTCTGGCCGCCACACAGCCTGGCTCTGATGTATTTCATCATATCTGACTTACTCATAGGGGTCCCCTAGTTCATGTATGTGTTTTGTTTGATCATTTTTGAAGTAGCAGCATTTTTGTATTCAATCATTTATTTGTGTATTTATTCATTTCTGATCTATTTTTTATGCATTCAGCGCAATTTTTACTTTCTTCAGTCATTTAATCCAGTCTAGCTTCTCTCAGTATACAGTAACCAGGATTGATACCTTTGAACTTCTCTATTAAAAGGAATACTTTTGAAACTAAAACCTTTGGTGTGGTGCTCCTACATAGACTTTAACCCTTCCCCACTACCTAATACTGGATTAGGGCTCTGAGGCTTAAAGTGTTCCTAAAAACAGAACCCTGCATTCACTATATCTGGTCTCCCCGGACCCTGCATTCACTATATCTGGTCTCTCCGGACCCTGCATTCACTATATCTGATCTCCCCGGACTCTGCATTCACTATATCTGATCTCCCCCGGACCCTGCATTCACTATATCTGATCTCCCCGGACCCTGCATTCACTATATCTGATCTCCCCGGACCCTGCATTCACTATATCTGATCTCCCCGGACTCTGCATTCACTATATCTGATCTCCCCGGACTCTGCATTCACTATATCTGATCTCCCCGGATCCTGCATTCACTATATCTGATCTCCCCGGACCCTGCATTCACTATATCTGATCTCCCCGGACCCTGCATTCACTATATCTGATCTCCCCGGACCCTGCATTCACTATATCTGGTCTCCCCGGACCCTGCATTCACTATATCTGTCTCCCCGGACCCTGCATTCACTATATCTGGTCTCCCCGGACCCTGCATTCACTATATCTGATCTCCCCGGACCCTGCATTCACTATATCTGATCTCCCGGACCCTGCATTCACTATATCTGATCTCCCCGGACCCTGCATTCACTATATCTGATCTCCCCGGACTCTGCATTCACTATATCTGATCTCCCCGGACTCTGTATTCACTATATCTGATCTCCCCGGACTCTGTATTCACTATATCTGATCTCCCCGGACTCTGCATTCACTATATCTGATCTCCCGGACCCTGCATTCACTATATCTGATCTCCCCGGAATACTGCATTCACTATATATGATCTCCCCGAACTCTGCATTCACTATATCTGGTCTCCCACAGTACACACAACATCGAAATGCAAAGATTTTAGTAAATATAAACTGATAAATACCTTTTTACATCAGCAGTATATAGCAGTCTTGTGACTTCTATCGGTGTCCAGCTGAGCACTGGTTAATCTTGTAGGAGGAGTTCTCATTCTCCTCTGACTGTCCTATGAGGCTGCATAATACTCGACCCTTTATCTGGATAGCGCTGATTTGCCCTATGCCGATCACATGCACCCTTTCCTAAAAGAGAAAAAATACTCTCTAGCAATACATGCTAAACTGAGCATGTCCAGACTTGCCACTGCTGCTGCTCTAACTATGGCAGATGGATTGGGGACAGCAAAAGAAGGGGAGGATCAGAGAAGACAGGATCAAACAGCCTTTTTACACAATGCAGAGGATTAACCTCTTAGGTTCCACAATGAGTGGAAGCAAGCATGCTTTGCTGCTGCATATACGAACTGATTTTACTGTTGTGTGTTTAGTAACATTTTAAGTAGCTCCCCAACCAAACTATGCAAAAATACAGCTGCTAACTGGGTCAAGTAAACCTGATCTGTCTTCATTGTGGATTTCCCTCCGATAGAGGTTGATTATTATTTCTGTCTGGCTGGGTACTAGAGCCTTTGTCATCCAGCTGTTTGCCATCTGTTCCTCTGAGTCACAAGCTATACCTCTCTTTCAAATTCATACAAAGTGTCATGGTCTCATGACTTTACCTTTTCTCAACATGTCACCTCGCATTTCTCAGTCAAACTTCTGATCTGTTCTTCATTTCTTCTTAAACTTTCCATTTCCTCTTTTTTTCTCTTCCTCTGATCTCTAAGCACAATTTCCATCGTTTCATCTGCGCCTCGCCGGCTCTTGACCTCGGTGATCCTCATGCGTTATTCACCTGTGTAATATTGATTTAATTTATCCTCTTGCTGGTTAGATCTCTCCAGTATGTCTTTATTAAACATGAATTTTCATCCTAACGGGATTCTTACATCACAACTCCCCATTGTAGCTTCGGAATAATGAATATTAATGTTTTGTGGAAGGAGAGACAGGAGCGGATAAATAGGCCTGCGGAAGGTGCCAGACAATGAGCAGGATGACGGCCTTGGTACTTGGACGAAATGCAGAATGTTACTTTTCCTGGCGCTTTCACAAATAATGGTTTGGTATTTATGATAGCAATTGGGCCAAGGTAACATTATACAAGTGAGACGAAAGGATTTGTTGAATAAAATTGGAGGAAAGCAGTTTTTAATGTATTTCTCTTTGTGTTTTTGTCTGCCTCCCTTAAAAGCTAATTTCATTTTAGGGTAGATGTATAGTTGAATCACTGATCAACTTCTCGTGAAGACTATGCTGGCAGAAGCTTCCAGAGCTCCATGCACCAGTCAAGGCCATTAGGAGGGGGAGTTTTAGTTTGGGAGTTTCTGTTATAGACAATAATATTTATAAAAAAATACACTTAACCGTCTCATTTTTGCATGAATGTTTTTACAACTTATGTTGAAAATGTATTTTTATAATGTTGTGTATATTCAGTAACCAGCTATTTAACATTATTATTGTAGCATTAACCGCTTGCCGCCCTGCCACTGTATATATACGTGTGCAGGGCGGCACTGGGGCGCAAAACCACATTTTAAAACGGGCTCCGCGCTCCCGACGTTTTCGCCGGCAGTGATGTCTGGCTGAAATCAGATGATCGGTCCCTGTCCTATCCTGTCCTGTGTTGACATTTACACAGGACAGGATATGATGTCATTCTTCTCTGCCTGGACACATTCCGTTCCAGACAGAGAAGAAGACATGCTAACAGTGAGTAAAACAGCACATACCCACAGTTAGAACACACCCAGGACACATTTAACCCCCTGATCACCCCCCCCCCAGTTAACCCCTTCACTGCCCTGTCACCAGTGTCACTGATCAGTGAATCGATTTTTACTGATCACTCTATCAGTGTCGCTGGCGACTTCCGATAGTGTTAGGGCCCCTCCCAGATAGCCCCTCCCAGATAGCGCCAGTTTCCCCCCCCCCCGCTACTGCTCTACACCAGTGATCATCCCGATTTTTACTGATCACTGTAAGTGTCGCTGGCCTTTATCGCCCCCCCCAGATAGCGCCCCCCCCAGTAAGCCTAACCCCTTTATCGCCCCCCCCCCCCGAGTTAACCCCTTCACTGCCCTGTCACCAGTGTCATTGATCAGTGAACAGATTTTTACTGATCACTTCATCAGTGTCGCTGGCGACTTCCAATAGTGTTAGCGCCCCTCCCAGATAGACCAGTTTGCCCGCCAGTACACCAGTAATCCCATTTAACCCCTTGATCGCCCCCCCCCCCCCAGTTAACCCCTTCACTGCCCTGTCAGCAGTGTCATTGATTACAGTGAACAGATTTTTACTGATCACTGTATTAGTGTCACTGGTGACTTCCGATAGTGTTAGCGCCCCTCCCATATAGCGCCAGTTTGCCCGCTAATGCACGGGATTTTTTTTACCAAAAACATGTAGCAGAATACATTTTGGCTTAAATTTATGACTAACTTTGAGTTTACGATATATTTTTTATAGCTGAAAGTAGAAAATATTGTTTTTTTTTTTCAAAATTTTCGTGTTTTTTTTTGTTTATAGCGCAAAAAAAAAAAGCGCACAGGTGATAAAATACCACCAAAAGAAAGCTCATTTGAATTAGTGAAGCGCCAAACAGCAAAAAAAGGCCTGGTCATTAAGGGGGGTAAATCCTCAGGAGCTCAAGTGGTTAAAGTGACACTAAACTCTGTTAAAAATTAAAACTATTCTGTTCAGGTATGTATTAACTTAAAGTCCCTTCTTTTGCTTTCTGTCTCCTCCTTCAAATCTCCAAATTACTTTTTTTTTTATTTTGTTGTGGCTGCAATTCAACTTGTTGTTAGAAGGTGACTACTTTCCTTTTTCATGGTCCCACTGTATGTAGCAACCATCTCTTTGTAGCCACCTTCTTTCTTCCTCCCAAGATGGACTAGTGACAATGAACTCTTGTGATTTCTATTGTGCATAGAGCAATGCACTTGACCCTGCTCGTTCAAAGAGAAGTGAAGGGATAAATGAAAGGTCTGGCAACTCATGGAGGATGTTACAAGGAGGAAAATAGAATTTCATGAAAAAAAGATTACAGGGCATTAAGTAAGGCAGCCTGTTGGGTAGATACAGTATGGTGTGACAGCAGTAAATACACAGAGGCCCGCGAAGTAGAACTAGTAAACAGTACAACAGCCTTGCGGGGAAGCTCACCTGACCGGGAACTTACAGCAATTAGAGCGGAGGATCAGCGATGAGTAGGCCTGATCCTACAGAAGGGGAGCGTTCTAAAGATGAAAAAGTAGGCCAGGCCCTAAGCTTTCCCTACTCCTCCTCTGGAACCTCTCCTTGCCACTATTGCTGTCCCTGGCAGACAGATAAGCTGTCCTTACACTAGTCACTTTGCAAATGCGCACCAAAACCCGGGGACAGGGACTTAAATAAAACTCAGTTTGACCCAAGATGGTCACCAGGGTAACCAGAATCCAGCGTAGCCAACTAGAACGCTGCCCCAGGGACTGATGGAACCATAGAGAAACCTAGTTTCTCCTGACTTCTTCCTCTAACTGCATTGCCGTTCTGGACAAGCACCACCTGCATTGGAGAATGTAGGCTGCACCTGCCTACAAGGCATTCTTCACCCCAGGGTTCCTCCAGCAGTTTCTAGAGATTTCTTGAACTGTAGATAACTGACTTTCCATTCGATGGCTGCATAGTTCCGGAGGCTAGCTCCACTTGGCAGAATCACTGGCATGACACCAATGATCTTTTTAGCTATCACTAAGTGTGGCATTCTGACCATCACTGTAAGGGGGCATTCTCCCTACTGACCCTCAATTAATTTTAGCTGGGCTCACTGAGACCAGAAAAATATTTCAATGGCACCTCAGAAATCTGACTGACCAGGTGACAACATAGGAGCACAGTTGGTAGACTGGGACAGAGCGAGCACTGTCTGTAACAGGAAATGCGTGAACAAGGACCCATATGGCAGGTTCATTAGATATTATGTTAATGACACCTGGAGATTATGCAGAGACTATATTTTAAAAATTTTTTTAATTTACATTAACAAGTTATAAATTGTGAGATTTTAGTGAATGGATTTACACAAACTTTAAGCTAGACGTTTGGGGTTTGTTAAAGAAAAAACACACACATACGCACCTCCATGCTGCAGCTGTACCACGTCACCACTCTAAGCTCAAGAACTAGAGTAATCAGATGATTGATGATCGCTCAGTTCTTGGTCTGCACAGCGTGGAGAGCAGTGACTGTCAGTTGCTGCTCTCAACTTTTCAAGTGCTCACTGGAGTGCCGTGTTAGGGAGAGGGTGGGCACTGCTGGCTTTGGCTCTCAGCCTTCTGCTAAGAAGTGGAGCCAACTGCCAATCAGGCAGCTAGTTGGATCCCAACAATATTATTGAGATCCTTCCAGAGCCTGGAGCAGCTCTGTCATGTCCGCTGATAATGGGTAATAGCCGTCAGCCCACTTTAGATCACAGGAGAGCAAAAGTAAGTACACTCCTGTGACCCACAAGAGAAGTATGGTCAAAAATATTTTGGCTATAATTTACTTTATTTATATATTTCAGGCACTTATACAGTGCAGTGATTTACATATATATTGTATATTCACAGTCCCTGACCTCAAGTAGCTTACAATCTAAGGTCCATAACTCACATCCATACTTACACATACTAAGGCCAATTTAGACA